GGCCTGGAGTTCCCCGCCTCCCTCTCCCCTTCAATGCTAGGTAATCTTCCACTTAAGACAGCCTCTCACCCCTGGGCCTTTCTCTCTCAAAATATACCAGTCTCAGCCCATTGGCTGTCCATCTGGGACAACGCAGTGGACCCTACCAGCTAGAGGTGGGAAAGGGCCTCAGGCCTCATCCCTTGAGCCCGCAGGCCCTACCTCAGCCACCAGAATGGGGTCCTACAATTTCCTTTCCCAAAAGCCAGCACCCCTGCTCTGCCTAACCCTCCTGGCTAGAGACACCTTCTAAGCTCCCCACTGGACACTTTAGAGCCTAGTGGCTATAGTAAGACCACTGCCAACTCCTGTAGGACACCTCTCAAACTCCTGGCTGGGGCCCAGGTCTGAGGCTGCCCATTCTGAACTGACGGCCCTGAAACCAGGCAGCCAGACCAAGTTGTCACAGGTTTTCCCAGAGCCGAGGAGAGCTTGCAGCACCATCCCTCCCTCCCGCTGAGAGGCTGACCCCTGCTGGCCATGCTCACACCTCTCTCTGCCCACTGGCCTCCCACAGGGCAGCTGGGTGCTTGCAAATGTCTAGCACAAGGAGCTATTTTACAATGCAGCCTGCCCTGGTCAGGGACAACACAGAGCAATGGCACCTGCCACATGATGAGCAGGAGGGTCACCTGAGCAAAGATAAGGACCAGCCTGATGACCTAGCACGACTGCTCCTTGTAATCCCTTGAGATGTCATGCACCTTGCAGCGTAGGACGGCATGAAACTCACTGCAAACTCTCGTCCCTCTGCTCCGTCTCCTGAGTGCTGGGAGCATAGCTTAGACAGCTCGCTCCATCCTTTGATCCACTGTGAGGTTGTCACTGGTGATGTTCCCACTCTACAGGCAGGAAACACCAAGTTTGGAAGTGTGTCACCTTAGGCCATATAGCTAGGAAACAAAGTCACAGGGGCTGGGGCACAGATCAGAGTACCTGACCCTGCCACCTATTTTGGGGACATCATGTCATAACATCACACGGCCCGCCTGTCCCTGCAGTCTGGGTCTCCCCTCCCCACCAGGACCTGAGTCACTGAATACAAATATCTTCACCTCACTGCTACAGCCCCTTCCTCTTCTCCTTCTGGAAGCCTGTGGGGAGACAGACAGAGCCATGTCTGCAATGTAGGTGAGTCCTCAGCGGTCCTGTATACTGACTTTGGCCAGGACCCAAACCTCCACTCAGAGTCATGGCAGGGCTCCATGGCAGGGGAATGACTTTCTCATGTTGAGCCCCGGCTCTCATTGCCCAGTGGAGCCGGTCCTTCAGGGTCCCAGCAGGGATAACGAGAGAGCTGCAGCCTGTCACCTCCCTCCTCAGAGCTACTGGGTTTCCTCTCTGCATGCAGAGGCTGGGTGCAAATAAATACGACGAAATGAACACGTTTGTCCGTGTTATGTTTCATCTCCTTAGATCTGCCCATCGCTCCAGCCTGTCAGCTCCTCTTTCGATCCCAGCGCCATCGTCTGGTGGTTTTGCCCCCCCCTTGCTCTGTGGCATCTGCAAATTTGATAAAGTACTTGAAGCACACTTGTCTCCTAGGAAGCCCTCCCTCGTCCTTCCTCAAGCACAGGCCTGCACAAGAACGTGCACACACACACACACACACACACACACACACACACACACACACACACACACACACTGCTGTGCTCACACTTCCCTCCTGCCAGCTGGGCTCATCAGATCCAGGGCACCTGCACCCATGGAGCCGGGGCCCTTAGATTGTGTGCATATGGGCCTGTGGGGCATGGAATGTTTGATGTCAGAGCTGGCTGTCTCTATAGCCTGTGCCCTGCTAGCTAAACTTGGGGCCAAACTGACCAGCCACCTCGGATCCCAGCTTTGCTGGGACTGTATGTATCCACTGCCCACACCCACTGCTAAGTAAAGGAGGTGCAAGTACTGTGGCTGTGGCAGTGGCTACTTGCTGCAAAGTTAAGGCAGCCTTCCTGTCTGCAGACATGCCTCCTCTGCAGGGGATGCTGGCCTGGTTCCTTCCTGTCTGCAGACATGCCTCCTCTGCAGGGGATGCTGGCCTGGTTAGGTGGTAAATATAGCAGGAGGGACTAGCCCGGAAATCTCCAGCGGCAGCCCTCACCCAGAGCTCAACAGACACCACCATGACCTCTACACAGGCTCTGCAGAAAGGAAGGAAGGAAGGAAGGAAGGAAGGAAGGAAGGAAGGAAGGAAGGAAGGAAAAAGCAAAAGCAATGAAAGTGTTTGCAGCTTCCTGAAGAGGCCAGAAGAGGGACCCCTTGGAGTCCAGTTTCCAAGTGGTTACCTACCTAATGTAAGAGCTAGGAACAGAATGGGGGTTCTCTGCAAACTCTGAGACAGGCAGCCACCATTCTCTTTGTTTATAAACATTTGAATTTTTTGTGTGTATGTCTGAATGTCTGTGTGGGTATGTGCACATGAGTGTAGGTACCAGTGAAGGCCAAAAGAGGGTGTTAGATCCCCTGGAGCTGAAGTTACAGTGGTTGTGAGTCACCTGATGTAGGGACTGGGAACTGAACTCAGGTCCTCTGCAAGAGCAGTACTTGTAAATCACGGCGTCATCTCTCCAGCCGTGGACAGACCTTGATTCTTCTAGTGCATTCTGCAGCCTCCAGCACTGCCTGCTGGCATGTAGAGTGTCGGGGCCCACGTAATATTTTGGAAATATGTTCTACCCAGTTTTAAGAGCTCAGAACTTCTATTGTCTTTTAGATATCGGCTGATTACCATGGATGCCTGGCCTCAGTGGGGAATGGCTCCTATTTCTGTGTAAAAGACTTGGGCCAGGACGGGTCTACACCCACCCTGCTCGTGTGGAGTGCCTGAGGGCTTGAGTATGTGCTGTAAAGGAGTGTCTCTGGGATTAGAGGAAATATTTGATATCAGCCCTTTATACTTGATAATAGATGTCTTCTGCCATACCCCCACTTTTGGATGGTTACTTAAGATGATGGAACAATAAACCGTGGCCTTCAGTATTGACTGGGAGCCCTCCTGTTATGACCAGATGTCTCTGTCTCGTCTTTAACATCTGTTGGGTAGCTAGGCCTTCCCTCATCCACACTCCCCTACTCAGGGTCAGACCCAGGGCTGTTTGGCTGTTTGTTCTGATCAGAGCCCTAAAGACATCAGTCCGGTATAGAAGCCCCTGCAGCGGGGGACTGACACAGAGTGGACTAGGACAGTAGGGCACTCAGGTTTGTTTCTGAATCGGAGCTTTGGGTCCTTCCCTCAAGAAGACCTGCACAGTCAGCATGAGCTAGCTGGAGCTGCAGTGACGGGCAAGCCTGGATACTCACTGGCTGGGACAAATTGGTTCCTGCAGACGTTGCTGCCTTGTGGGGCACTCCAAGTCATCACCAGGCCAAAGGCACAGCCACAGCATCTTACTAGAGCTGAGGCAAAGAAGCACACAGCTCATGGCTGAGGTATTAATGTGTCTGCCTTGAAATTTCATTTGTCACTTCTAGTCATATGTCATAGTTTCACATGGCTGTGCCTAATTTCACAGGGAGTGGGGGAACCCTAATTCCCCCTTGTGCCAGGATTTTGACAAAAACCCTCAGGTTCACTCTGTGTGCCAATTCTTCCTGTCCCTTCCTGGCACCTAAGTTCCCACACCCCCTCAGGTGCCTTTCCCATCTGGGATGCCCCCCCCCCCGCCCCCCTGCCCCCCACACCAAGGCCTTGCTCTGCCCATGTACCTCCTATTTCTAATAGTCACAGCACTGCATCCTTCCCTTTAGGAATTCCCCAAACCTGTGATTCTGATGGGACCATGACCCTGACCAGGGGACAACCGAGGCCCAGTCCTTACCTGGGGCTGCCCTAGAAGCGGCCTCCATTTCACCCAGGACCGCCCGAAGCTGCCTCTCTCTGAGCTGTCCTCAGGGCTGTGGTGCAAATGAGTAGTCCCTAGAGACCCGGCTCATACCCAGGCCTTGTCACCTCCCTGTCCCTGGTCCAGTCACCCTGTCTCAGTGGCCTGACTTCTGTGAGCGAATACAGTCCGTCACCTGCACGCAGCTTCGTGTGAGCTAAGTTTCCATGTGTCACCTATGTATTCTGTGCCCAACGTCCCCCTAGAAACTTGGTGGCTCGGAGGGATTCCAACATGACAGGTGAGTGGAGTCAGTGAGGGCTGACAAGGCCTGCTCCTGAGCTCACTGCCCATTTCCAGGCCAACTCTACCGCTTGACACTTTGATGAGGCCACAAAGGGAGGCGGTGACGGTGATGGTCTTGCAAGGTAGGGACTATGTATTACCTCTGTAGCTTCCTGTGTTGTGAGCCACTGTCCGCAGAGCCAAACAACCACCATGTAGGGGCGCTCAGTTCCTCCCCGCTCCCCCTCTTCCAGTCAGGATTGCTGCAGCCAGGCTTGTTGACATTTACACCCCGCTATGGAATGGTGGAGCGAATGTAAAGACCCTAGTCTGAGTATCCATCCATTCCCTGCTGTATACAGCAGTGCCCCTTACTGCACGTAGCCTCAGGGAGGAGCTAGAGTATACAGGCCAAGGGAGACTAGGGGAGGGGCTCCAGCTATGGGGGGCTTTCGAGGCACAGCCTCTTGGGGGAGGAGCGAGCAGGCACACCCATCAGGAACCCCTCACTTATGCTCTATAGGGGTTCTTGTATTAGTCAGGGTTCTCTAGAGTAGCGGAACTTAAAGGATGAATCTCTATACAGGGTATGTATTAGAGTGACTCACAGGCCCTGGTCCAGCTAACCCAACAATGGCTGCCCATGAGTGGAAGGGCAAGCATTCAGTAGTTGCTCAGTCCAGGAGACTGGATGTCTCAGCTGGTCTCCAGTAGATGCCGGAATCCCAAAGAAGTCTCGCTAATGACAGTGGAGGAGTGGACATGCTGCCCAGGGAGAGCTACTGAGAAAAGAGAAAAGGCACCCTTAGTTCATGTCCTTATCTAGGCTTCCAGCAGAGGGCGTGGCCCAGATTAGAGGCGTGTCTACCTGATTCAAAGACCCCGGATTAGAAGTGGATTTTTTTTGCCCAGTGGCGGTGAGCAGATCTCTGCCTGTCTACAGAGGGAGTGCCAGGAGAGCCAGAGTGACACAGAGAACCCTGTCTAGACCCCCTACACCCCCAAAAGAAATGGATCTTCTCATTTCAAATTAAGCAAAAAATACCTCGCAGGTGTGTCCATTTGGGGGTTTTTAGTTAATTCCAGATGTAGTCAGATGGACAATCAAAACTAGCCATCCCGAGTCCACCCCCTGTCAACATGACGCATGGTCATAGCTCCCCAGAGTGAGCCTTGGTGGAGCCATGCTTCGTCTGTCATGGGACGTTAGGAGAACGGGTGGTCGCGGCTTACATCTGCTGGGAAAGCAGGTTAGCAACATCTTACGAGGTCAACTCTTCTTTTTTTGAGGCAACAACTTCAAAGTCACTCGTCAAGGATGACCTCGAACTTCTGATCGTCTCTCGACCTCCCAAATGTAGTGACGACAGGTGTGCAACACCAGGCATCCCTGCTTCATGTGGCGCTGAGATGGGACTCTGGGATTTGTGCTTGTTTAGGTATGAGCTTCAGTAGCCTAGCTACATAACCAGCAGTCTTCAATTGCTTCAAATTGAGAAGCTGTAACAATGATTACAGGCCCTGAGAGGCTTAAAGAGGAACCCCTTCATCCCCAGGTGACTCCAGTTCTGGGCCCAGCCTTCCAGGCTGATTCACCTGTTCACACAGAAGGGGACTGGCACACAACTGTGTGTCAACTGGGATCGCTGGGACTGGTGTGGTATCTCTGCCCTCTGCTCTCTCCTAGAATGTAAAGGATGCTCTTTCTATAGGGCTCAGGCTCAGACTTACGAGGAAGAATACTAATGAGACAAGGCCTCTTGGGGCCTTAGATGGGGACCAGCCAGTGTTCTTCTGGCCATGTACCCTGATCAAAGCAGCAATGTGACAGCTCAGGGCCCAGGTTCAAGGCAGAGAAGAGACTCCATCTCAGAAACGTAGGAGTGTGAGGTCTTCAGTGGCCACCACTGCTGAGTGTCATAGGCTTCCAAGATTGCCGTGTGAGCTGGCCTGGCCTCCTACATTCAGGATGAGGAGATGGGGTTCACAAAGGGCTGAAGATCACCCCACAGAGGGGCTCAGAGGAGCAGGATCTTTGCCAAGGCTATTGGCTCCTAGGCGGGTGGGGTTCCCTCCACAGGCTGGCTCCAATGCCAATTCTGTTTGCACACACTAGTATTTGCAATCAAAAAGTTCAGCGGTCCTTCCAGTGTGCTTAAATTAGTCCCCATGAAAACTAAATCGTTTCATTTGCAGAGAAGGGCTTAATTGCCAGGGGAACGAGGCAAAGGGAATTCTGTTGCCTGTTTTCATTGAAGAAAATTACTGTACTTTCCCCTGTCTCCTTATGAGACAGAAGCAGCTCAGAAGCCATCACTAGCGATGCATCTCCTGGCCTTGCTCCTCAGAGTCTGCCTGTCATTCTGCTCCTTCAGCTCCTCTCTCCTTACTGGAGACTGGTCTTGCTCATCTGACCAGCCTGGGGCAGCCTGACCTGGGGCACTCAGTGGGCAGCGCTCTCCTGATCTACAGAGCCGCTGCCCATGCTTGGATTCCTAAGCACACTGTGAGCTCAGTGCCCCTACCCCTTGAAAAGCAGTGCACACGCCTGCTCCTGAGTTCAGACCACCCAGCCTGGTCCCAAAGACAGGAGATGGTCATGTCATCCCAAGGAGACCCCTCCAGCGAGGCAGCCAGCAGGGGAGATTCCAGCAGTGGGTAGCACTAGGATCTCGGTAAGTAAGAGGAAGGGACTTAATCCCTCAGGTTAAAAGGAAAATAGAAAAACAAAATCAAGTCAGTCTGAACAGAGACTGGAAAGATTTAGACCTTAGAGGCTCAGTGCCCAGCTCTTCTTCTGGGATAGAGGTTTCTGCTTATTGATGGAATATTTATGGAGTGTCTGTCTTGTACCAGGCACTAAGGACTTGGGTGTACTTCAGGGAAGGATCAAAGATGCACGTGGCCATGAGAAGCTGAGACTGCTGCAGGGGTAGTCAGACACGAAGGAAAACTTGTAGCAAGCCCGGGGCTGGGGAGCTGGCTCAGCGGTTAAGAGCACACACTGCTCCTGCCCAGGACCCAGGTTCGGCTCCCAGCCCCCAGCGTGTGAAACTCACCATCACCAGGGCCCGTATTCACAAGCATATGCCCACATGAAGCACATAATTAAAGATAATTTTAAACATGTAGCGAGCCAGATACTAGGGCAGAGGAAAAGGAGGAGAAAATCCTAGAAGATGCGCGGCATGGGGGGGGGCGGGGGTAAAGGTGCAACCTCAGACAGGGAAGGTGAGACGCAGCAAGCTTGAAGGAGAGGAGCGAATCCCACGGAGGTCTGGGGGAAACAGCAGGTGAGCAGTGAGTGCAAAGACCCCAGGCAGGAGTTGGCTGTCGGGGAGAGACAGATTTCCTCCTTGTGCACAGAGAGGCTGTAGGAGGTCCCCAGGCACAGCAGGGCACAGCTGTCTTGTGGATGCTGGCCCCATGCCCTCCCCACCTGAGTATAGACAACACCAGCCACTGGGGTGACATGGTGCAAAGTGAAACCACACCCATTCAGCCATTTGCTTCTGCACTCTCGTATACCCTGGGGGTCATGGTGGGAGAAGCTGCCTGGTGCCCCAGGGAGAACCTTTGGGACAACCAGGTGACATATCTGCTCTCCTGTCCCTTCTGCTTAGAAGAGGCCGACAGGATAATGGATTTGAGTCTACACGTGGACCTCAGCGTGGGGATTTTTTGAGCTCAAAGTCAATGGTGCATTAATTAAGGGGAGCAGCTGCTACCCAAGTCTTATGATAAATCAGTGACAAATGGCTGTGTTTACCTTCTTGGTGAGCAGAGCCTCTGGAAGGCAGCACAGAGCTCCTGGGTGGATTGGCATGCTGAGGACTGTGGGTACAGTCTCCCTCCGGGTGGATGTCCACGCTGAGGTCTGCGGGTACAGTCTCCCTCCGGGTGGGTGTCCACGCTGAGGTCTGCGGGTACAGTCTCCCTCCGGGTGGGTGTCCACGCTGAGGTCTGCGGGTACAGTCTCCCTCCGGGTGGGTGTCCACGCTGAGGTCTGCGGGTACAGTCTCCCTCCGGGTGGGTGTCCACGCTGAGGTCTGCGGGTACAGTCTCCCTCCGGGTGGGTGTCCACGCTGAGGTCTGCGGGTACAGTCTCCCTCCGGGTGGGTGTCCACGCTGAGGTCTGCGGGTACAGTCTCCCTCCGGGTGGGTGTCCACGCTGAGGTCTGCGGGTACAGTCTCCCTCCGGGTGGGTGTCCACGCTGAGGTCTGCGGGTACAGTCTCCCTCCGGGTGGGTGTCCACGCTGAGGTCTGCGGGTACAGTCTCCCTCCGGGTGGGTGTCCACGCTGAGGACTGTGGGTACAGTCTCCCTCCGGGTGGATGTCCATGCTGAGGTCTGCGGGTACAGTCTCCCTCATCCTTTTGACACATCTTCAGTGTTGCCCGGGTCCCCAGGAGAGCTGTTCATCACTAAGGATAGCTAGGTCAGTCAGCAGCCTGGGGCTTTGGACGGAGCTACAGAAACACCAGGGGCTGTGTAGCTCAGGTGGTAGAATGCTGGCCTGACATGCACAAAGCTCTCCCATCAGCCCCCAGCACTGTAAACACAGTGTGCACAGAGGATCTCAGCACTTGAAGGTAGAAGGGGAGGATGAGAAGTTCAAGGTCAGCCCGGGCTACCAGAGACGTCTCAAAACAACACCCCCCCACACCCCCAAAACAAAAAGCCCTCCCAGGTCAGTTTTGTCACAGGGATGCCCCCCGGCCCTTCCTCAGACAAACTCCATGGCCCCATGTTGTCCTAGGAGGCTGGGCAGAGTTGCTTCCTCTAAGAGGCAGGATGCTGAGTGCCAGGCTCCTTGGCCCTGTTTCCTTTATGTTGTTCCAGCTTCTGCTCTTCCGGCAGCTTCCCAGCCGTAGAGCTATGGGTTATCTTTCTCACCACTTCAGACAAAACATGCCAGGGGGACATCTTCTGCAGAGACAGGAGGAGGCCAAGCAGGCTGGCTTCTTCCTGAGGTGTGCGGGGCCCTCTACAGCTCACCCGCCAGATTTGTGCAACAGAAGGTCTAACAAGCTCACACAGCCTTCGTGGTGGGGCCAGGTGGGGCCAAGACTGGCTGTAACCACAGGACATAGCTAGGCTACCTACCTAGTCTCTGAGCCATTAGGCTTGGGGACCCAGCAGAGATGACTGCCTGTGGCATGTCCATGGTCTTCTAGGAGCCCCCTTGCCATCTGTGCCCACCAAGCCCATCGCTAACCCTGGGCCTAGGTGTAGGAAGCAGGTCTCTTTCAAGGGCAGCACTGCTTCCGTTGGCTCTTCCTTCCAGGGCACTCAGCACTCAAGTCAACATGGAACTGGAGCTCTCCGCCCACTAGGTTGTTGAGTCCAAAAGGTGTCCTGCAGGACAGGCGGGCATGTGGCTCTAAGCAGCTCATGTGAAGCCCATTGCCGCGGCTGGCAGCACTGCCTGGCCCAGCCCAGCCCTCTCATTACTCACCATTCCTTTGGGGAGAAGAAGGACGCATTATGGACAAAACCACATTCATATTCAATAAATATTTTATTTTCCTGACAGTTCCACCCGCAACACAAAGCTTCTTCTAGCTGAACCCTGATCATGAGAACAGGCCTTGCCACAGGCGCTGGCTCAAACCTGTCCCACTGACCACCCAGACACGGAGAAATCAGAGTATTGCTAAACGGAGATGGTGCTTTATTGAGAAACAGCATCAGGTCAGAGAGGGGCATCTGTGTCTTCTGGAGGCAGCGGGGCCTCGGCCTGGGCCTCCCGCCACCCTCCTGTGCTGTGGGTGAGGCCCGCTAGATGACTTGCTGGAGAGCCTCCCTCTCAGCTAATGAGGCCCCCCACTGGGTGTTTTTGGAGCAGGCCCTCCACTGCACAGCAGGCCAACGGCCCACACTGCTCCATGTAGCCTGCAGGGGGCAGTGTGCAGCCACAATGCCGTACCCCACCTGTGCCAGCCTGTTCCAGCTCCACAGCCTGAAGAGGTCTTGTAACAGTAAAAATAAGGTGTTGAGCCTGGCAGGAAGCTGAGGCTCCACCCTGGCTCAGGGCTGCACTTCCCATCTGTGAGAAGCACTGAGGCACAGGCAGCTGTGGCTGGACCCTGTCCACCTCTACTCTGTCCCCTGCAGCTGGTTCTAATCTGTAGCATCTTCCCCTTTTGGACAAAGAGGCTCCTGCAGCAGCAGGACAGGGTTTTCCCCTCACCCTCAAGCTCCCTGGAAACACTTGCAAAGGCACATGGACCAAGCGCTCCCCAGGCCCCTGCTGCCCAGCCCACCTCCCGACCCACCACCCAAGCCAGGGGCTTCAGATCACTGGTTGCTATCTAACTGTGTGCAGGGCCTCCAGGGTTCCAACCACTGCCCCTGTTTTTCTCTCTAGGAAGAGCAAGCCCTTCTTCCTTTCTGTCAGTAAGACTGGCATAGAGGAGGGCCTCACCCGCTCTCCCTGCGACCCTAAGAAGCCCACACGTCCCAGAACTGAGACCAGGAGGGCAATCAAGGCAGGCGTGAATGAGCACCAAAGGTCTGTGCCCTTGCCCCAGCTGCGTGGCCAGGCCAGGCCGGCTGGAACAGGCCCTGTCCTATCGCTCTGAGTCAGAGAAGGAAGAAGGCTTTGTCCATCTCCACACCAGCATGTCCTCCCCCGCCACACGGTGGGATTCAGTCTGGATCCGGGATTCACTGGAAGCCAGGAATTCTACAGCACGGTCCCACACTCGCTTCATACGCCGTCTGCAATGGCAAGGTGGAGTCCAGCAGGGGTCAGGCTGGCACGTGGCTACCTTTCCCTCAGAGGGAGGGGCGCTGCTAAGCTCTGCCACACTTACCCAACTACAGAGGGCAGAGTGGTGCACTAGGGACTCCACAAGCCTTAGCAGGAGGGAGCTAAAGGGGCTGGCGGTGGTGGCACTCAGTTCCATGTGGGGACTGTGCCCAGCTTACCAAGCCTGGAAGGAGCAACCCTGCTCTGTGGGGCTGCATCTGATAGGTACACATGCTGGCTAATCAGAGCAGTCCAAATTCTCAACACTAAGTGAGGCCTTTGAACAAGGAGACCCCTGTCTTTGGGAGTCAGAGCCAGGGGCCACTCCCTGCTCTGTGGGTCCCCCTTACCAACAAAAAGGTTCCAGGGCAGGGTGTGCGTGCGCACCGTTATCTTCCCATTGGAACCCTCATTTTCCCTTCAGCACACCCCCCTACTGTGTGGGGAAAGAGCCTATCTGTGCAGGTCTGAGCATGTGGGAGGGGGGGTCTCCAGGATGAGGACAATAGAGGTGAGTCAGGAGACAGGATGGGGACTTTCTCCATGGGAATCAGACCACCTCTGCTCAAAAGGAAAAGCTTGAAGGATGAAGATGCCAACCTTCATGCCAGGTCCCTGAGGGCGCAGGACGCAGGGCCTCATCCACAGGGAGGGACTGGCCAGTCGGGCATTCTCATCAGTCCCTCCCTGCCAGCTCCCACCCATCCCCCAGGCATGCCCTTATCCTGGCTGACAGGCTGCTAATGACATGGGTCAGAAGCTACCAGGGTGGGTGAGCCTCCCTGGGCAGCGCTCAGACCCCTATGGTCAGCTATGCACCGAGCAAGCCTGTGATGTCTGGGTGACATGGCTGTAGTGAGAGTGCCAGGTCAGCTACTGTGTTCTCACAGCTACTCTCCAGTGCTCATTAGCCTGGATCTAGCGTGGCAAACTTGAGGCCACCTCCTCAGCACCTATCCCCTTACCAAGGGCCTGCCACCGCCCAGTGCAACATGGTTTCCTATGCTTCCTTCTTCTACTCTAAAGTTCCTCCAGGGTGTGGACTTGGGGTCTTCCATAGTGCAGAGTAAGGGGTCAGCAAATGTGGGGAAACGGATGGAGGGCAGCCCTCCGCAAGGCAGTGGACTCCCAATGTGTGAAAACGAGGCAGACAGGCTGGTTACACTACTCCTGGCAGGGCCAGGAATTAGGCAAGAGTCAGAGTGCAGCAAATGGCTTCCCAAGAGATGGGAGAGCCCAGCATCACCTGAGGATGCACAGACTGACCTTTTGGAGTGGCAGTGGCCCCCTGTGGAGGGCTCCCTGCCTGTAGCCTGTGGGGAGATGAACCCAGCAGCTGCATTCTGCGTGCTGTTTGGAGAGCAGCCAGGACTTTTGTTCACCAGAAAAGTGTGCTGCCACTAAAGCCAGCAGCAGCAGCTTAAAATGACTCACAAGCAGGGCACAGTGGCTGCTGGTAACCCTGCACTCAGGAAGCTGCCCCACAAAGATTAGCAGTTCAAGGCCTGCCTGGGCTACAAAGTGAAATTCCCGAGGCCCGGCTCCCCCCCCCACTCTTCTCAGGTCTCCTCAGTGAGAACCAGGAGAGTGAGTGTGTGCCTGCCGAGGCCACACAAGCACAGGGGAAGTGTAACCTCTGCACACCACATGGCAGGTGACAGTCAGCGAGAGAACAGCCTAATCTGCTTTGAGGGGCTGCAGTCTGTGCTGACACCAGGGGGAACGCTGCTGGGTGCCCCATCCACCCCACGAGGTACAACTGCAGGGTCAAGGTCACAGAGCCTGGAAAGCTCCCTGTCTCCTTACCAGTGACGAACTGATGTTGGCCCATGGAACCCCAAGAGGAGTGTGCCTCCCTAAAGGCTACTGGGAGGTTTTTTCTTGCTTGGAATAGTGCCCAGAAGTCCACTTCTCCTGTCAGCTGTGACGAGGCAGACACTGTTGTGGCTGCTACTGGCTACCACCTTGCAAACACGAGTACTGCTGACAGCATTCACTGGGTGGGACTCACAGAAACATGAGACCCCCTGTAGCTGAAACCACCAAGGGGACTGACTAGAATTCAGCCTCAGCACGGCAGCTAGTGACTGAACTGGCACACTCTACTGAGTAGTGGCTCATGCCCCTAGTCCTCCTGTCCAGCTCTTCTGCCACTAAGGCAAAATGCTACCCATGGTCTGCTGATGTTATGTTCTGGGCTCCCTCCCACACATGGCAGTGGGTCACCCCGCGCCCCCTGCAGGACTCACCGGCTCTGTGGGGGGATGAGGGTGTCTCGCACGTGAAGGATGCCCACATATGGGTAGCGCTCCATGTCCTGCTCCCAGTCCACATAGTGGTCCTGGACCACGTCTGTGGGAGAGAGAAGCAGTCAGCAGAGCCCGGCAGGCTTGGGTCCCCCTCCACCAGGGACACGCACCTATAATCTTCTTCACCATCTCGTACATGGCCTGCTCTTCTTCTTCTAGCTTTCGCCATCTGTACTTCAGGAGGATCAGGAGGCCCCACAGGAAAGCCAGGCCTGGAACACAACAGAAGACCGTCACCTGCTGTGCAAGGAGAGGCTACAAAATGATGACCTTCCTCCAGCTGCTGTCACCTGAGGTGCCCCAGGTACCCAGACCTCAGCCCATCTCAAACTGACCTCATCGCCTCCCTCACGGGCTGGAGCCTGTGCTGTACACAAGTCTACGTGCCAAGCCTGTATTCTGAGATGCTGTAGCTGTAACAGCCCAGCAGCTTGGCATGGGGGAGGCACTGCCCGAGGCAGCCTATCCTGAAGGCTGCCATCTCCATGTCCCTGCCTTTTCCTCTTAGAGACACCTCAGGGTACTGCTGGAAGGAGACAGCCAGGCTCTCCTATCCTCCTGCAGAGTGCGTCCTCTCTTTTACCCATCTCTGCAGAGGTTTGCAGTTTTCTGGAGTAAAATTAGGCCAAGGTCCCACCCACGTCACCTCCTGCGTGGAGCTGGCCTGAGCACTGGGAGCCTGGCGGGCCACTGGGAGCAGCAGGGGCTGACTCCTACAGGGCTCACTCCTCTCAGGGAGGCTGGCAGCCCTCTGCCCTACGCCAAGGACGTTTCTAGTAATACTACAGCTCCAGCCACGGGTCTGCAAGGCTAAAGGCAGCAGAGGGTGGAAGCCGTCCTGTTCATCTCCTGTTGTTGTTGTTGGTCAGCCCCAGGTCCATGAGGAGAAATGACCCCTTTGGTGCCTGACTCATTCCTCATGCCCGGGCAGCCACTGGCAAGTGGCAGGATGGGAAGGGCCAGGAGAGCACACCAGGCAGGGAGGACTTACACCAGAAGAAGATGAGCACGTGGGTGACAGCGGTGAGCAGGGCCCGGCTCAGGCGGCAGCCTACGCCCATTCGGGGCCGGGCAGACTCCAGGCAGACCACTTGGTCCACTGTTGTCACCAGCTCAGATGGGTCTTCCCCTTTCAACCTGAAACAGGATATGGGGCTGTAAAAACAGGCTGGGGTCTAAGCCCCACTTCAGGCTGGAAGCGAAGGCCTGGAAGGGAGGGGCCCGGAGGTCTCCACTTGCTCAGAGTAGCCGGCTGGCTTAGCCTCGCTGTGCTCCTTCCTGCAATCTCCCACACTGGCTACTTAGAAAGAGTGAAGCTTTAAAGATGGCAGCAAGCTGGAACCCCCGCCGCTGAGCTGAAGTGGCGTCCCCCTCTGCCTGGTCTTTGACAGCCTCTCTCAGCATGCACAAGATTAAGCTGTAGATTGGATTCCCACCTCCCAGCACAGAGAAATGGAAATGTTTACGGAACCCCTGGTTTTGCGAGCGAGCGTGCGCCAGGCAACAACTGAGACTGAGACAGAACCTGGGGGCGGCACTTTTCTTCCGCAAGGGGCAGGCGCAAACACTGTTTAAGTGTAAAGATCAGGGCACCAGGAGGCCCATGGCGACTGGGACCCAGCAGGCCACCAGTGACCAGATCCCTGGCACCATGCCTCCAGCCAAGCGGCTGGTGAGGCAATGTGAGGACCTGCAGGATGCTGATGCGCACACTGCCCTCGCTCTGGAATGACTGCCATGTGAGCTCCATTCCTCGTGCCCCATTTTCAACACTGGCTGTCTGAGCTGCCTTTCCCGGCAGGAAAAGGCAAGTGTCATCATTCTTCTGTGTTGGCAGCTCCAGTGAGCGCTGCAGAGGGGAAAATCCGTATTCTCCTCTGCTTTTCTCAATGCAGGAAAATCGTTCAGCCGCTCAGGGCAGCTGCTTTTAAGCCATGGATCTTAATTGTGCCACGCATCCAGTTACCGAGCTTTAGGCCTAGCCGCCCAAGGGGCTGCGCTGGATGCACTGTGATGGAATTAGCAATTTGGGTGGATTAGAGAAGAAGAGAACAAAACCCTAGAGTGTGTGTTAATACCAGGAGCTGGAACCGGAACAGAGGCTCCAACAAGGAGCTATGGAAGGGACTGTGTGGTCCCGCTCCTTGGCAGGACAGGGTATCTGCATGGCACAAACTGGGGACTCCTTTCCCACCACTCTCCCCGAAGAAGGCTGCCATCTCTGCTAACAGTGCTTGCCAGCAAAGAAAACGCAGGGAAACCGCCTGGTCAGAACAGAACCCAGCACTTCCCAAGGTATCTCCATACCGGGTGAGACCAATGCACAGAAAATCTTCTCCAGTGAGTTAGCAGGCAGCACCTACTTGAGGGAGGACTGGCAGGAACAGCAGGCTCACACCCCCATCACCTGGACCGGACAGTGCTGTTCTCTAGTCTGCAGCCTGGCCGTGCCTGCCCTCTGCTGTCTGGCTCCAGGCCTTGGGTAAGTGAGGAAGTCAGTGCTAGGGAAAGAACTGTGGCAGTTGGCAGTTCAGCCTCTTGTGACAACTGCCTGCACTCACCAGATGCCCACATCCTTATTGCTGCTCAGTATCCAGGTGAGCGCGGCCTCAAACCTTGCCGAGGGGCTGCTGGTCACGTTCTGCGGGGTGGAAGATGGGGTTAGCTCTGCCTCAGCTGCTTCAGCCAGGACATTACTCTGAGGCTGACTGCCGAAGCCCTCTCCTGTGTCCTCCCACATGCCCCATGCACAGCAAACAGGCAGGGAGGGCAAGCTGCATGAGGAAAGCTAAGAGGACGACACAAAGCACATCAAGAGAACAACACAAGGAAGGCATCAAGCAAAGGCTGAAGGGAGCAGCCAGCGAGCAGGCACAGCTGGCACCACTGGAGGGGGGACACGAAACAGCGCCAGGGTTGGAGTGGGGTGAAGACCAGTCCCAGCCGTGCAGCCTCGGAAACTCCCCAGCCCTCACCAGACCTCCCTTTGCTCATCTACGAAATGAAACTGAACTACACAGCCCTCCAGACCCTGCAAACCCCGAAGCTCCATAACCCTCCCATGGAGAGGCACCAAGAAAGGCAAATGGAAGCTGAGGGTCCAACAGGAGTCACAAGGGACAAGAGATGTGCCTCCCACTGCTTGGGGGAGCGGGAGAGGGAACAGAGAAGGGGCAGGTCTGAGGACTGACCCTTTGAGGGCCTCTGAAGAAGGGGCAGCCTGAGGTCCTCTAAAGAAAGGGCAGCCTGCCGTGGCCATTTAGCTGATCGGACCAGATTGCCTGCCAATACTCAGCAGGGCCAGCCCTGGGGCACAGTCCCCTCCACTAAATTTAAGAGAAAGGAAACCAAAAGCCACAAAGCAAATGCAAAACAAAAAAGGAAGGAAAACAGAAGTGCAGGGCTCCACAGTGCAATAGCAAGCTGCAGCCTTGCAGGAAGGGGCAGCCTGCAGTCCACTCACAGCGATGTACTCCTGAGCCTCCAGGACAGGAATGCATTTGCTTTTTAGCTTCTCTGGATTGCCACACTCAAAATTACCTAGGAGGGGAAAAAACATTCAAACACGGAGAAGAGGGAAAAAAAATCCCTCTGAAATGGCCTAAAAATACAGTGAGAATCCAGCCATCAGCTCTAATCAGGAGCGTGTGGCCCGGCGGCCCAGCTTCTGTGGGGCATCTTCACTCTGCAGCAAGATCAAAAGCCACTTAGCTTGGATCGATTCCAGATCATTAAAACCTGACCCGCAAAGCAGGGCAGCGATTTGCATTAAATGACTGAAAAGCTGCCCAATGCCAAAGTCTGTTTGCGGCTGATCCCTAGAAGGATCAGACAGAGCTGCGGAAGGTACCAGAATGGCACTATAAATATACACAGCCTGGGAAGAAAGAAAGGCAGGAGGCTGGCCACCAGACACTCTGATCTGGACACATGCTGGAACCTGGAAGCCAAGGCCATTGTTAGAGAGATCCTGGGGAGTGATATCCACAAGGCACCCAGGGAAGATGAGACATCTGTGGGGCATCAGCTGACGGCCAAGGCAGCTCCTCTAAGCACCCTAGGAGCTGGCCCCACCTTGTCATGCCAGCCTTCGAGACCCGGGCTAAAGACCACCTCTTGAAACCCCCCCAGCAGATCTAAGCCTGCAACAGTGGTTGGCCCTCCTTCACAGGGTTTCCTGCCAGGTTCTGTAGGGACCGCACAGGATGAGACGCACACAAGGTACCTGACACTCATGTACAGCCTCACCCCGAAGCTCACCTGGCCAGGCTGTATGTATGTGTGCGTCCTGGGCAGAGACTGTCCCCAACACAACCAAATCCTCCTGCGTCAACGCTGCTCTGAGCCGGCCCTGTTCTCTGAGGCCAAGGCGCCACTCTGATCCGCCTCCCACACCTGGACTAGCCCTGCCCTGGCTGGACGCCTCAATGGCTTCCTGATTGGTTTCTTCTGTCCCCTTTCCATCTCAGGGCTTTGTCACTGAGGCTGAAAGATGACTTTGCTTCAGACACAGCATCATCCAGCTGCTGGGCATTTGATGCCTTCTCAGCAGCACGCAGGCTCTCGCTCGGAAGGCCCCTCCCTAGTCTGCTGGACCAGGCTCCTGCGGCCTGGTACCCATACTTTTTAGCATTATTCCCTCCTCTCCTGACTGTTACTGACAGTCGTTTTTGGTGTCCTTGCCTGCCCCTCCCTGCGTGCACACACCTAGGCTGACCTGTGCTGGCACAGTGTGATCCTGACAGCTCTGGCTGCCACTATGCTTCCTGTAGTGTGTGGCCCATTGTCCCATGAGACCACAAGCAGCCACTTCACACCCTACCAGGGCCAGGACAAGACCAGGCCACAGTTCGTCTCTAATAGGATAAAGGAAAGGATGCACTTCCTATTTCCCAGCGACCTCAGTGAGACTGCAGACCTTGCCTTGAAGGCAGCAGGGGCCAAGGCCCTTGATGGCAAAAGCCAGGATCAAACCTGGAAGGCGGGACGGAGGATGAGTACTCAGAACCGACATGGAGCAGAGCATCTCTACCTCAGGACGCCCAAACCACGTGGGGCCTTCCTGCAAACAAGGGTGACACCTGGGACCAGTGGCTTGGGTCCAGGGCACTTCCAAGGCCTGGTCCCTTCCAACCAACACAAGGCCTCAAACCATGAGGCCCAGGTGTTTGTGGCCTTGGAACCCTGAAGGAAAAGGGAGATCCAGGCCTGTACTGCACGCCCACCAGGCTTGAAAAGATGAGTCTGGGTGCTGGGTGGGAAACAGGCTTGGCAGTGATGGGCTGTCTTGGCCAGACTGACCTGGGGCACTGCAGGGCGGCTACTCACCTGCTTGGATGGCCAGGAAGTTGTACAGCTCATGCAACAGCTCCAGCAAGGCTGCCTTCTGCTTGGCCTGGCAGAACTGAAAGGCAGGGAACAGTCATGGGTCTGTCTGTGCTGTAGCCACACCGCCACGCCCATCCCGACAGCCAGGAACGCCTCTATGTTTTAGGGGCTTGCTTTGTATTTTGAGACCCAGTCTCATGCAGACCAGGCTGGCCATGAACTGGTTATGTAGCTAAGGATGACCTTTGACTCTGCTCCTCCTGTCCTGGCCTGTTGAGTGCCAGGATTCCAGACATGCTTTATGTAAGTAGTGCTGGAGATGAACTCCGGGGCTCAACTATGTCAGGCAATCACTCCACCAACTGAGCCACATGCCCGGCCCCCACCTCCTAGTTTTCCACCCGAGAAATGGACTTGCAGAGGGCTGGCAGGGGGAGGTGGTGAGTGACTGGTCCTGGGGCATAAAGACAGATCAGTAACAAAGGGACGGCGGCCCTTGGCTCTAGCCGGACTTCTTGAGAAGGAAGAAGGAATGGCGCCACAACTGCAGACAGTGGGGGACAGCGCGGAATGTCAGCGGCTGCGGGAAATAGACGGCTTTGCCTGCCTGCGTGGGGGCTGCAGTGCGGACTCAGCGTGAGCCCACAGACAAACCACCTGCACGGTGACAGTACCACACGGCAGGCAGTGGACAGAGGTGGCCTGATTAGGACAGCACAGCCACCACAGCCTGTCCCTACATTCCCACAGCCGAGGTACAAAGAAAACAGTGTCAGAAGCCTCTGCTGCCACCATACTAGCAACACTCATCTGACACTTAAACACTTGTCTGGATTTGGGGTGAAGCAGGCCACCCAAAGGAAACCCAGCAAGAACCTCACTGGGGACAAAAACTATGTCCTTGCCTGCCTGCTCCTGGATCCACCTGCTACGAAGGCCAAGGGTGCCCAAAGCAGCCATGACCCAGACCCTCTGTGGGGTTGGTTACAAATCCACAGTGTCTAGAGCCCAAAGGCCAGAGCTCCAGGCAGCTGAGGGGAGCAGCTCTGCACAGACCAGCAGAGACTGCACCAGAGGGACACGCATATACTTGGCTCACTGGAGGGCTGGAGCAAAGGTGCCCTTCATCTGCGGTCTACCATCTCTGTAGGTCGTGAAGAACAAGAACGAAGAGCTTCATCTAACTGAATGGCAAACAGAAGAGCAGAGGGTCCCATGGAAAGTTCTAGTTTTCTTGTTTTTGTGTTTGTTCCAGTCTCTGACTGCATGTTTCTGGAGAGCCCTGTGTAATCATCAGCCCAGCTTTATGATGGAAAGCAGATTAAACTTATTATGAGCCTGGCTTTGCAGAATGACTGAGAAGCAAAAATGCTTGGTGGATGACAGCAATAAAGGAGTGTCATAAACCACCCACAACCAGGACACAACAGCAGCCAGGAAATAAAACCGGGATATCTGCATCAGGCTGCCCTGCAGGGGTGTCATTTCTTTGCTAGCCCCTGGGCTGCAGAGGCCTGGCATCCACACTTAATAATTAGAACACTAAGTCATGCCCTTTGGCAGCACATGACTCCTCCTGGTAGGATTTATGACCTGAAAATTTACTGCCTCATATCTTCCTCAGACTTTCACCAGAACCGGCTTCCTGGCTGCGCATTAATGCTGCTCCCATGATTCATAGGCCAAGGGCCACTCACCTTCCCCAAACATTATTTGTGGGGAATGTGAGGGCTTCATAAAACAAATCGAAACATCGGCTAAGAGGGCCAATTCCCCCTCAACTGGCCTCTAGATGTGTCAAATCAGGAATCAGAACACTGTCAGAAAGACAGATGTACACCAGAGAACAGGCTAGACTGAGTGGCATCTCAGTGTTAGACCTGGCAGCCCGACGTCCAACACCAGCAGGCTGGAGAGGTGCACCCAAACCCTATCTCCCTGGACTGATTCAGGCAGAAGATCAAAGGCCTTGCATGCTCCCACCGAGGGGAGAGCATCTGTGAGAAGCCCAGGGCTGGATCTCAGGGGCTCAGTCCTCCAGAATTAAGTTTGACACAAACGTCACAGAACAGGATGTGCTTCTGGTGCATTCTGCAACGCTCTCCCTGAAAACGGTCCTGCTAGGACCTGGGAAAGATTTCCTCAAGTGGAGGCTTGAGCCCTCAGGAAGAGTAAAAATGGCAGAGAAAACTTACCTCATCTGTTTTTCTCTCACAGTCCACCGGCAACAATTTCACTGAGACCAAGAGAAGAAAGACAGAAATTAGAAGTGGGGTTGAGGAAAAGACAACAGAGACCTCTCACAATCCAGGGGACGTTAAACTTGGCTGTCAGGAAGATACAGATGGGAGGATGCCAGTTCACACTGACACGTGCTCACACTGGCAAGACCCAAGGGCTTCCCCACACCGGATCAGGACATTGATAGCTGGGGCTCTTTTCAGCTGCAAACAGTGTCACTGGTTCTTGGGTGATTTAACCTCTCTGGACACCTGTTCTGCACCTGTGAAATGGGAGCCATGGGACTTCCTAAAGGGAGTATACATAGCTGTGATCCCAGCACTCAGGAGGATAAGGGGGTAGCTGTCCAAAACTTGAGGTCAGTCTGGCCTACAGAGAGGATGTTGTCTCAGAAAACACAAGGGGCTGGAGAGGTGGCTTGGTGCACTGGGGCAGCGGCTGCTCCTGCAGAGGACCTGGGTTCGATTCCCAGCACCCACGTGCTGCTCACAACCATCTGTAACTGGTTCCAGAGAGTCCAACGCCCTTACCGAGCTGTAGGTGGCGGTATGTCAAGTAAGAATTAATACTATTATGGGAGGGGGCGCTGGGAAATCCTGGCTATGTATTCCCAAAGCCTGGGTTAAACCATCTTAAGCAGCAAGCAGCAACACACCGTCATGTGGTATCCCGAGGCGTCACAGCCCAGGACACATCAGCGGCATCCAGCTTGGCTAATCCCTAGCGGGTTAGAAAACTGCTCCAGTGGGCATCAGAGTGTTCATCAGACATGTACACACCCAAGCATCGTTTGTCACAAACTCCCAAGACTCTGAGTCAGCTATTCCTTCTAGGCATGGGAAGAAGTCACCTTGACTCAAGGCTGAGCAGCAGTATTAACCACCTTCAAGCTTTGCAAAGAGCGTCAGCAACGGGGGAGCTGACGTTGTCATTTATACCTCAATGCGCAACAAAATGATCTGGGCCTGGTGACTCAGGTCTTTAATTCCAGATCGAGGAAGCTAAGGCAAAGTCATAGGTTCGAAGCCATCCTGAACCAGAGTTCAAGACCCTGCTTCAAGATCAGTTTTCAAAAGTCAGCTAGCGAATGTGGCTCAGTGGTAACAAGCTTGTCTAAGGTTATGTGAGACCCTAAATATAACCCTTAGAGCAGAAGGCAGCTATCATGAAAATGGAGTGCTTTTTTCTCTTTCTGTTAGAGCCAAGAGTAACAGGTAAAATCCCTTTCGGGAAACACCGACCCTGGGCTATTCAGGAGACACTGTTTCCCACACCCCTGGAGGGGCGCAGAGTCACACGACTGAGTGTGGGCCCACAGCCCGGGGGTGTGGCAAGCAGCCTCGAGCTCCCATTTAGTACCAGCTTAGGCTCCAAAACTTCTCCCACACTTGCACCACAGGCAGGCTGGAGTCCTTTTGGTACAACAGAGCTGTGCCCACAACCGGGCTAGGCCAAGGGCTGTCGGGGGGTGGTGGGCCTGACTGTCCAGAGTGGGCGTGTAGCTCTCCCCCCACAGTGGCTGAGGGGGGCACCGGCAGGGAGGGGAAGCGCGGGTCTGCGGGGGAGAGGCCTCGCCACACTCCGTGCCCGGGACCCCCCGCGCCGGCCCGGGACGTACTGTTGTCCTCCGCCTCCTGCGGCGCCGAGGGCTTGCCCATCTTCACCCAGAGGATGCCCAGGAAGACGAGCAGCA